ATACTATTGTTTAAGTTGGCTATTATTATCATACATGTGTGATATTCACATTTTTTTTCACTTTTTATGTAGACGTTTAACGACAATACACGATTTTCATGCGAAAACTTTGTAGACATTCATAAACGCTTGGGGTACATCTTCAATGTGCTTATATATATATATATATATATATATATATATATATATATATATATATATATATATATATATATATATATATATATATATATATATATATATATATATATATATATATATATATATATATATATATATATATATATATATATATATATATATATATATATATATATTACGAAGGATTTTCTTCGTATAATATACAAACAATGATGTGTTTAATTTTGAAATAAATTGATCTTCCGGATTTTATGGAATTCATGGGTGGTGGTGGCATAAAAAGAGGTTTAAATGATTTCCATGTCATTCGTATAATTTTTGTTTCGTAACATAAAGCAATTATATATATATATATATATATATATATATATATATATATATATATATATATATATATATATATATATATATATATATATATATATATATATATATATATATATATATATATATATATATATATATATATATATATATATATATATATAAAATGAGGATTCACTTATTCTAAGAGTAAGTTTTTATAACTTACTCCACAATTATAACTTTTAAATTAGATTTAATTGAATGATTATAAATAAAAATGTTAAGTTAACCATTATATTAGATTCGATTTGAAGGCTATGTGGAGTAAGCTAAAAAAACTTACTCTTGGAGTAAGTTGATGTGAGAATATGAGAATAAATCTGAACCCTTAGATTTTAAAATAAATGATGGAGATTATGTGTCATTTTTTTTCTCTTTTCTCCATTATTAAAAATAAATGATGGAGGAAAGAGAAAAAAAATGACAAATAATCTCCACCATTTATTTTAAAATCTAATGGTTCAGATTCATTCTCATGTTCTCACATAAAAATATTATCATATATATATATATATATATATATATATATATATATATATATATATATATATATATATATATATATATATATATATATATATATATATATATATATATATATATATATATATATATATATATATATATATATATATATATATATGTGTGTGTATGTGTGTGTGAGAGAGAGAGAGAGAGAAAGAGAGAGAGAGAGAGAGTGTGATGTACACTTGAGTTTGCATTCAATTGATGTTTCTGTTTTAATACAGATTAAAAAATACAGGTTATAAAATTTTTTGTTATGGAAAATTTTCAAAATGCAGAAATACATTTTTTAAAAATGCATATAATTTAACGACAATTGTTATATATGAACGTGGTTGTATAGTGAACGTTGTCCAGAATAATATATATACCAAAAATATGTTACTGAGAATCGAACCTGAGACCTTTAATATATTACAACGATGAGATAAAGCAATTGTGATAATATGTCGCGCGCTTTCAATTTTTCTACAACGGTCATAGGACCGTGATTATAAGTAACGCATATATAACCACACGATATGTAACAACGACCAGTCCTGCGTGGTAATATATTTTTTTCAATCGTTGTTGTATATGTTTTTCGTAGTAGTGACAAGAAATACTAAACTCAAACCCAAATAGTATTGTTGTAATCCAGTGCTCTGATTTTAGTAGTGGTTCTGTCTTTGAAAGGATTTACACCTATTTAGAAGCATGCAAAGTTGGGTTTGGAATTAGTTGTAGACCACTAATAGGGTTAGACGACTGTTTCTTGAAAGAAGATTATGGAGGTCAGTTAATGGCAGCTATAGGCAGGGATGAAAATAATAAATTATTTCCAGCTGCTTATGATGTTGTAGAGGTTGAGACTAAAATTTACTGGGAATGGTTCATTAACCTTCTTATTGAAGACTTGCAAGCATTCAATCAAAAAGTATATTCATTCATATCTGATCAGCAAAAGGTAAAATACATTGTCCTTTCATATTTGTGAATTGCATTATCCTTTCTTGTTTATGCATTATACCTTTCATATTTGTGTGTTCTATTGCAGGGACTAGTCCCAAAAATTCAAGGTATTAGTGATAATGTTAATCAAAGGCTATGTGTGAAGCACCTATATGGAAATTGGAAAAAGAAGTACCCTGACATGGAATTAAAGAAACTATGCAGAGTTCTGCAAGGGCTACAACAATTGCAGGATGGGAAAGAGAAACGTTGAGGATTAAAACTTTGAATGAGGCTACATGGAAGGAAATGAATGATTTCCCTCCCAAATTCTGGACCAGGTCACACTTCAAGACCTTTTCTAAGTGCGATTTATAGGTAAACAATGTGTGTTAAGCATTTAGCATGGTTGTTTTAGAACACAGAGGCAAACCTATAATCACCTTATTAGAAGGGATTAAGCATTATCTGACAAAGAAGACTACTACTCATAAAAAGATGATGTCTAAGTTCATTGGAGAATTTTGTCCAAGGATTCAACTGATACTTGAGAAGAACAAGAAAGCTGCAGGAGGCTGGTCACCCACATGGCATGGGGATGATGAGTTAACCATTTTTGGAGTAACAAATGACACTGAAACGTATTGTGTAAATCTAAAAAAAGAAAATTGTGCATATAAGAAATGGGACTTGTTTGGCATCCCTTGCAGCCATGTCATAACCTGTATTTGGCATAACAAGAAAAAACTAGAGGATTATGTCTCTGATTGGTACGGGTATAGCGATAAAAATCAGTATTGTTATTTATTTATCTTATCGTGTTTTATACTTCTATTATTTATATGTTCTATTGTGTTGTGTTTATGTGCAGGAAAGCCACCTTTATGAAGACTTATGCACATACCATTTTTCCAACAAATGACCCACAACTTTGGCTTTTAAATGGACAATTAGTAGTGAATCCACCCTTGATGCGAAGAGTAATTGGTCGCCCCAAAAAATCTTAGGAACACCAATTATGAGACTAGAAACCCACATGTGCTGCCAAGAAAACTTGCAACAGTTACTTGCCACAGGTGTGGAGCCATGGGACACAGTAAGTGGAGTTGTAACAGAAAGAGAGTTGTTGATATGCCTATACCAAAGGGTGGCAACAAGAACAAGAAGTCCAAAAATAACCCTGCTGGATAGACTGCTAGAAACAAGAACAAGAAGTCAAAGAAAAATCTAGAAATTGAAATTGGATCTTCATCACAAGCACCAACTCCTACACAACCGACTCAAGAATAGATTAATGAAGATTCTAGGATGATGTCATATGTTTTATAATGTCTATTTTGTGTCATGATGATCTATGTAATGTTTCTTTCTGTTATGTAATATATTATGTCATGAACAGGTGTAATGTCTCTTTTTGTTATGCCTTATCAGTGTCATGAACAAGTGTAATGTCTCTTTTTATTATGCCTTATCAGTGTCATGAGCAAGTGTAATATTAAACTTTTTAAATGAATGAAGATGATTTTGATACATTACTGTATTTCATACATGTTATATTTTGGTACCTTGTTGTCACTTTCACACATTATAGAATTTTTAATCTGATAAAATGTAACAAGTATCATAATTTGTACAACTAATACGCTGTAAAATTGAATTTGATAAATTGTAACTGAAATTTTAATATGGTATATTGTAACTAAGTCTTCATTCAATATTTAAAGTTACAGATTACACCAAATCAACAACATTACTCAGAACATAACTAAACCTTACATTACACCATTCAACAACATTACACATTTCATTCATCTTCTTTATAAATCTCACTAAAATTCTTACTTCAATACATTACACATAACTAAATCAATTATCAAACAAAAGTAATTGACACGGATAAATTCATCATCTTCTTCATAAACTTCATCTTAATCTTCATTTCTTCTTCTTTGATCTTGACATTATTTAATTTAAACTTTTCCTCACTCAACTTGCGGTTTAGATCAGATATTACTTCCTTGGCTCTTGGTGACATTTCTTCACCAAACCAACTAAAAGGGTTACATTTTCTATAACCTTCGAGCTGGACTCAGAGAAAAAACTCACGACGTTAAAGATTAAGGCGTCAAAGAATATGAAAGCGTTGAAGATGAATAGAAGAAAACAACATTGTACCTTAAACATTCCACAACCGTAAAAACGACAACCTGTGTTCGGTTCGGGACAGGAAGTCATCAAAAAAGATTTCAATCCACATTTGAACTCTTCCTGAATGTACTGCACATCCTTTCTATAACTTGACTTCGAGCTTTGCGACATTTAACCGCGATTGAAAAAAATGAATACGCCAAAAGATTGTTGCGAAGTCAAATTTTGAAGTTAACCAAACTTTTCAAGTGAATTCAAATTTAGGGTTGGATAAGATGAACTTAAGAGAAGTTGAAGAGAATGCAAAATAAGAGATGAACTTATTTAAATAAAGACTATGATTAATATAACATAATAATTAAAATTGAAAATCTTAACTAATTTAATGTATTTACATTATTAAAAATATTTATCATATTCAAATTAATAATAAATAATGACATGACATTACATTGTAACACAAAACAGTACTTGCCACATCATTAAAACTCTGCCTTGTTACAGAAGATCAAAGAAAAAACAAAGAATGTGAATTATGAGAATGAAAATATTAAAATAAAAGGAGTGAAATTGCATTTAAACCTTTTTTTTAGTGCTAGTTTGTTTAAAAAGAAGAGTTTTTGCATATAATTGGATTAGCATGTGTTTTATTAGCTAGTTAGTTATCTCTCACAAATTATACAGTATAATACATGTATTGAAACAAACTATGGTTCCTGCACTCAAATATTTGCTATTTGTATATATTGTATGTTGTCACTATCAACACTAAAATTAACAAGTAAGCTAAAAGCTTGTCATTCACAAATCTGAAGCATGCTGTAGAGGGTAATTCCATATTCTCAGATATTACACAATAAATATTACAGAAACTACATACAGGCCGCCACTCAAGCAGGGACTGCCAATGGAGTAGCAGGAGTAACCCGATTTTCAGCCGGAATTTCAACAAACTCTGATAGTAGAGCGCGGAATTCATCTCCACTCAATGTCTCCTTTTCCAGAAGGACTTCAACAATCTTATCAATTGCCTCGCGGTTGCTCCTTATCTGTGCCAAGGCAATTTCATATGCTTCATCTGATAATCTCTTGACAGCAGTATCAATGTCTTCTGCAAGCTTTTCTGACATTGAGTTCCTTGCCATCATTCTCATGATAACATCGCCACTTTGCGCTGATGAGTCCATAAGTGACCAAGGACCAATATCGGACATTCCAAATGTGACTACCATCTGCAAGAATATCATTAACATTCATCCAAATAATTTGTGGTTGTATCTAATAATACAACTCGAAATGTGCTGACAAATTGAAATCGCAATAGTGAACAATTATTACCTGTCTTGCTATACCGGTAATTTGCTGCAAATCACCACCTGCACCAGTTGTAACCTCGGGCTCACCGAAAATAACTTCTTCTGCAGCCCTACCGCCTAACCCTCCAACAATTCTTGCGAAGAGTTGTTGTTTTGAGATCAGGGTTGGATCATCGGAAGGAATGAACCATGTAAGACCCCGAGCTTGACCACGAGGAATTAATGTTACCTTTTGTACAGCATCATGACCAGGAGTCAAAGTTCTGCAACCGAGTACAAATAGATTTTTCAAAACAACTTTAAAGGGATGCTTTTACTGGAATAGCTTATTAATGCGATGTAACAAAAAATTCTTACCCGCAAATGGCATGTCCAACTTCATGATATGCCACTAAACTTTTGCTCTTTCCATCGGTCATTAATGTTCCTTCCATTCCAGCCACAATCCTATCAATAGAATCATCAATCTCTTTAGATGAAATCCCTGACCTTCCTCGCCGACCAGCTAATATAGCAGCTTCATTCAAGAGATTTGCAAGATCAGCTCCACTGAAACCTGGTGTTCTCATTGCAATCACTTCAAGAGAAACATCATTTTCAAACTTTTTATTGTTAGCATGAACCTTTAGGATTTCAGTTCTTCCCCTTATATCTGGAACATCAACCGATACCTGTAAAAACATTATGTTCAGTAGTCTATAATCATTTACAAACGGATAAGACATTCTTCCGTAATAAACTCATACCTGTCTATCGAATCGGCCGGGTCTCAATAAAGCAGAGTCAAGAATGTCGGCCCTGTTAGTTGCAGCAACGACAATGACACCGGTATTACCCTCAAATCCATCCATTTCTGTCAAAAGCTGGTTGAGAGTCTGTTCTCTTTCATCATTCCCTCCACCAATTCCCGTTCCTCTTTGTCTTCCAACAGCATCAATTTCATCAACAAAGACAATGCAAGGAGCATTCTCTTTAGCCTTCTTGAACAAATCACGGACACGAGAAGCACCAATACCAACAAACATCTCAACAAACTCAGAACCCGATATAGAGAAAAACGGAACGCCGGCTTCACCAGCAATAGCCTTGGCTAATAATGTCTTTCCAGTTCCTGGAGGACCAACAAGAAGAACTCCTTTCGGTATGCGAGCACCAACAGAGGTAAACCTCTCAGGCTTCTTGAGAAACTCCACCACTTCCATAAAATCCTGCTTGGCTTCATCCACCCCAGCAACATCATCAAATGTCACTCCAGTGTTCGGTTCCATTTGAAACTTGGCTTTAGATTGACCAAATTGAAGAGGAAATCCAGGTCCGCCGGGACCTCCCATACCACCAGATCTCCTCGAGAGAAGGAACAATACACCAATAACAGCGAGAGGGAAAGCCAAATTCCCAATCAAGTTAAACAAAAAAGAACCCGAATCCTCCTGGTTATTATGAGCTGCGAAATCAATGTTCTTTTCCCTTAACTTCTGAAGAAGCTCTTGGCTAAGTCCAGGAAGTTGAACCCTCACACGCTGCAACCTATTTCCTAACTCAGGAGAAACAGCCTCAACAATAGCTATTGTTCCATTCTCATACAAATCCACTTTGGTAACTCTATCCTTGTCCAAATACTCAAGAAACCTTGAATAAGACATTCTCGACGAAGAAACACCTTGATCATCAGCAGCATAAGCTTTTCCATTTCCAAATAATGCAGGTAAACCAACACCAACATTTCCAAGCAACAATTTCAGCATCCCCCTTCTACCTTCCTGCTGACTTTGATCTAAACTTGCCTTTACAGAAAACGCTTTCGATGCCCTATTATTCATCGGCGAAAACCTCCAAGATGAGAATAGGTATCTTCCATTCAAGTCCTTCCCTAGAGAAACTCCATTACTATGAGTGGATAAAGCATTTCCAACAAGACATGCTGATGATGCTGCCATCTAAACCCAAAATATAAGGTCTTAGTCTTAATTAACTACAACTAGTAAGAAATATTAGAAAAAACTAAAACTTGTAAATGAATTTCCTATCATGTAATTGTAAGAAGCAAGCAATTATTGTGATTTGGGAATTCAATTAAAATTGGGGAATAACATAGCATAATCTATAAAGAAGAGATTTTTAGATTAAAGGGTCAATAATTAACAGCTCAAAAGAATGAAATTAATGAAAAATATTGAAGGAATTGAAAAAATAAAACTAAGGGAGAGAAACATAACAGAAAAGGCATAAGAAGCGCAAACCTTGAATGTGAAATAGAAACGAGAGAGTGTGTGGAAGTTGAGAACCTCTTGGAGAAGAGGAAGGTGATGAATGAAGAGCAATAGTGAGAATGTGGATTTATGAAGGATTGGGTGTGGTTAGAGGAAGACCTACGTGGCCTAGTTTTAACGTTTGATTCGTCTCACATCGGTCCTAGATTCATGTCTTAATATTATTTTCGGGTGCTATTATCTCCACGTATGTTTACTTGAATAAAATACAAACTAATTACCTTTTTTTTTCCATAGGCAAATATAAACAAAATATGAATTATTTAAAAAAGCGGTTGTAGAATGAATTATTTAAAAATATATATAATATATTGTATTATTGTATGCATAAATTATATAGAGAAATTTGAAATCTTCCACATTCATTAAAATATTTAAGATTAAACTTTTGAAAAGATGAATGAGACATCAAAGGGTAGGAAGTATGGACTATGAAGTATTTCATTTTTAGAAAGGATAAGTGTGAACTAGAATGTCTTGATTAGAAGAGATGATATATTTGATCTTAATATCTGTAGAGTAATTATTTTCACTAAGAAAATTAGATATTTTTTATTAGAATTAGAGGTTAACATACTGTATTTTTATAAAATCGACATGTAGAAGAAAAATGTCACTTTATATAAAATTTTTATAAACTTTATCTCTATAAACTTTATCTCTAACTAATATAAGATTTAGGATTTTCTCAACATTTCTAAATTATATATCTTTAATATCTTGAATTAAATGCATACATGTAGTGCTTGTAGGCGAAAGGCTCAATAAGAGTCATACATTGAAAAGAATCTATGTAGCAAATTGATTCGTTGAAGCTTGTGTCTTTTGCAATGAAAAATCCTGGATGGATGGTATAAAGTTATGTGTGGAGGACAATCTTAAGTCTTTATGTCAAACACCATATGAATGGGAGATGCTCCTATGAGTCCTACCATAACTCGCACAAATAGGGGTCTTAAGACAATTTTCATCAATGTTAATTATAGTACAAAAGATGTTGATGAAGTTTCATTTAACGAGTCTCTCATCTTTGTGTTCATGGTGAGTTTTGCTAAAACAAGAGAAGAAAATCATTAAAAGACATTACAAAAGAATACTTTTGTAGGCTATGCTAATAGATTTTCTTTGTGGATTGTTTCTTCCATCCTAAGCATTGTTTTCTCACCATAATAAAAAATAAAAAATATCTATAAAATTCATAAGTATATTTTCGAAACACACCCCAGATGCAACAAATTCATGTGTAACCGAACCATACCCTTATTTTAAAAAAAAACTTTATAATCCATTTGATGTGATACTAGCAAAAGAACGGTGATTCTTGACTCGGCATTAACAAAGACCATACAAAAGTAAACTATCATATCATTTAGGATATCAATATTACACGTATGTATTTTAGAGAAGTTAGGCGTCTAAATATTGATATTATTATCACATCAAACCAAATATCAATTTGAAAATATTTTGTATTTGTTTTTCACCTAATCCAATCATTTATGTAGTCTTAAACATATGTATCAGGTGTTGGGATTTCGAAGAATCCCTGATGTTAGAATTACACCAAATCTATGAAGAATTTTAAATCAATCTTGATGAACAAGAATCAATTCTTCTGATTGATTTCGTCTCTTGTTATTCACTCAAGTGAATCAACCAACCTTTGTTGCAAGATGATTATGTTGCACAATCGATAATGAAGGAAGAAAATAAAAGATGAATTGGGAAAGAAAATGGAAATTAGAGTTTTAAGAAAAGGGGAAGAAGAAGAATATTTCTGCAGAGTTTTACTCTGCCTTCAAACTAAAATTTTGTTCAACTTTTCTCTATACAACTACATATTACAATGATAAGGTACCTCCCTATTTATAGACTGAGATTGCTTCATACCAACTAAATCTCCAACTGGCCTATCACACCTAAAAGCACAAAATAAAGCTAAGTCTAAGTTTATGTCGAAGACACACTTCTTTGACATTTTGACAGTTATACAATTTTTGCACATAGAGCATTTCGACAACAACAGACTTTGTTGAAATGATGCTTTGACACAAAAAATTATATTCTCAACACACCACTTAATTCATTATGTCTAAGCTATTACATTCATCATGGATCTTAATTTCTCGAACACTTAGATCTACACTTCTTTTGTCATGATGTCTGCAATCTGATAATTAGTTCTGCAATGTTTCAAGTTCAGCTTCCCATTTGATACTTGCTCTTAAATATAGTGGAACTTTATTTTTATGTGCATGCTTCTTCCATGTGCTATCGGATTCTTTGCCAAATTAATAGTAAATATAATGTCGATCTTCATGGTAATTGCTCTATGATTTTTCATTGTAATTTCTTCAACCAAATTCACCATCTACATTGCTTGACATGCACAAAAAGAGGGATTCGTGTATCCTTCTTCACAAAAAGACATTGCTACTACTGGTTCTTTTCTTGAGTTCCAAGCAACTGGTTCACCACCTAGCATAAACACATAGTCAGTTGTGGATTTTCTATCCTCAGCATCACTACACAACTTGAGTCAATCTAACCCACTAGTTTGCATTCTTTTTCTTCATCAGTTGTAGAAAACAAAAATCCATAGTCAGAGTTCCTTTCAGATACCTCAGTATCCTCTTTGTCTCTACTAGGTGTGATACCTTTGGCTTCTACATGAATCTACTCATCATACCTACATTGTATGCTAGATTAAGCCTTGTGTGATAAATGTATCTTAATGACCCAATAAGTATTCTATATTGTGTTTGGTAGACATCATCTTCCTTTGAGTATTTCAACATTTATAGTCTTAGTTCAATAGGTGTCGAAGTCGAATTGCAATCTTCCATCTCAAATCTCTTGAGTATCTCGCTTGCATACTTTATTTGATACATCATCAAGCCTCTACTACTCTTTTAGAATTCAATGCCAAGGAAGTATGAAATGTCTCATAGATCATACGTTTCCAATTCCTTGCTAAGAATACCTTTGAAATCTTCGATCTCTTTCTTGCAACTACCTGTTGTTATCAATAATTCATCGACATATAAACATAGTATAAGCAATTCACTCTTGCTTCTTATTACATATACTCCATGCTCATTTGTGCACTTCACAAATTCCTTCTCCCTTAGAAAGATATATATCTTCTTATTCCAAGCTCTTGGAGCTTGCTTAAGTCCATGCAGAGGTTTATGCAGCCTGTATACCTTATTTTATTCTCCCTGTTTCACAAATCCAACTAGTTGTGCAACATAAACTTCTTCATCTAAGGGCCCATTCAATAATTCACATTTCACATCCATCTGACACATATGTCAGATGTTCATGTTTATTAGACCAGCAACCAACATGATTGTTTCGATCCTAGCAACAGGTGCAAAAACTTCGTCGAAGTCAATTCTTTCTTTCTAAAAATATCCTTTTGCCACACGTCTATCCTTGTGTTGTGTTACTTCTCCTTTGGGATTCAACTTCATCTTATATACCCATTTCACATTGATTACCTTATTTCCTTGAGGCATTCGACAAGTGGCCAAGTGTTTTGACTTTGATGGACTTCAGTTCCTCATTCATTGCTTTCATCCATTCAGAATCCTTCAATGCCTCAACTACATTGAATGGTTCGACATCTTCATAGAAAATATAGTGTATCAGCTCACCTTCATCGTCTTCCACATAATCTGATGTAATCATACATTCTTTCAACCTTTCAGACATGTGTCTTGTTCTTTGAGGTCTGCTTGTGCTTGCTTAATCTCTGACTTCTTCTGATTAAACTTTTCTTTCGACTTCACTTATTGGTTCTTTACATAGGATTCTCACTGAATCCTTCTTGACATTTTTAGTGTAATCTCATTCCTTAAGCTCATTTATGATCACGTCCATGTCGATCACTTCTTGCTTGTTCACTAGGTTGAATAACTTGTATCGTCCAGTCAAATGATATCCTATTAGGATCGTTTGACTCGACTTGTCTTCAAGTTTTCTTCTCAACTGATCAGGCACATGTCTATGTGTTATAGATCAAAATACCTTCAGATGAATCAAGTTAGACTTGACACCAAACCAACATTCTTCTGGCGTGATTCCTTCTTGCTTTTTGGTCGGACATATGTTCAATATGTATGTTGGAGTCGACACAGTTTCTCCCTATAATTCTTTGGGTAAATGCTTGCCTTTCAACATACTTCTAACTATATTCATGATGGTTTTGTTATTCCTTTCTGTAGTTCCACTCTGTTGTGGGGTGTAGGGTGGCACCACCTCATGCATAATCCCTTATTTCTCACATAATGTGTCAAAGTCTTTTGACATATATTCTCCACCACCATCAGTCCTCAGAGTTTTGAGTTTTCGACCATGGATTTAAACTTGGAAAATACCTCGATCACTTTATTTTTCTTCTTGATCAGATAAGTCCATAGTTTTCGACTAAAATAATTTATGAATGTGACAAAGTATTTGTTACCTCCAATCGAATCCACTTGGATATGACCACACACGTTAGAGTATATGATTTCAAGAATTACCTTCGACCTGCTTCCTGCATCCTTGTTGAAGTTTTTCTTGTGTTTCTTTTCCTGCACACATTCTTCACATACTTTACTCGAAATTTTGATTTCTGGTAATCCTAAAACCATATTTATTCTTTTCAGATCTTTGATGTC